ACTTTTCCTATTAGAAAAAAAGGGGAATTTTATTGGTACTTGAATTGCAGGGATTTCTTGAGCATATAGATCTTTGAAATGCTGATACAAATTTATTCAAATATCAGTATTCACATGCATTAAGTGACCTACAAATTCCAATACTATTAATATTAGAGATTAACAAACTAAATGGTTGACCTATGTACTCTGCCATCTCTAAAGGACTAACTAGGATTTTATAGTTTTTACGACCATAGTCACTACCAGTAACTTTTGAAATTTCAGCTGAGTTGCTATCAACAGAAAATCACAGTGTTTATAAGGGATGTGAATGCATTTATCTTTAGAGCTTTCTTCCAGAAGAATCACATTTGTTGCTATTTTTTCCATGCTTTCTTGCCATAGAAAATTTCCTTGGTGTTCCCCTTTTTGATTATGATGGATCTGATATAGGGCACAGCAGGAAACAGGTAGTTTAAAGTGAATGAAATGCTAAAAGAAACAGCTGTCAAAAAGGAAACTAGAAAGAATTGATGGTTTAGAAAGCAGTTATTAGAACCACAAGCTTTCAGCCACTCAAAATACTAAAGCTAAAGTCACAGATCTCTAACCAGTATTTGAGAGGATTATTTCAGTTTTCCTCTTCTTATTGCTCAGAAGAAGTGGTTCCCTTCACCACTCAGTCCCTAGACTGTGACTTATACAGCTCCTATATTGTGGTGCTTGAGTTGGATGAACATCAGTGTGGTATGGTGCTTCTGCTGCATTCATTTCTGGTTCTATATTTCAGCTTTACATCCAACTCACAGATATGTCCTGCTACGAACGTTGTGCTCCCACCCCATGCGGCCCAACACCKCTGGCCAACAGCTGCAACGAGCCCTGTGTGCGGCAGTGCCAGGACTCGACCTATGTGATCCAGCCCTCTCCGGTGGTGGTGACGCTGCCTGGACCCATCCTCAGCTCCTTCCCGCAGAACACCACTGTTGGATCCTCAGCATCCGCAGCTGTTGGGAGCGCTCTCAGCACCGAGGGAGTTCCCATCTCCTCTGGTAGCTCCTYGGGATTGGGGAGCTTGGGCTATTCAGGCTTAGGCGGTGGGTTCAGTCGTCCCTACCGTCGCTACAACACCTTCCGCAGTGGCTTCTATGGGCCATRCTGAAGCTCTGAAGAAGATTCAAGAAGGAAGGACCAGAAATACTGAAGCAGGACCCGAATGCAGAACTGAGCTCGCAGCCGTGGTTTGCAGACACAGTGTTGGACTCCCCAACAACATCCTCCCCTTCCCATCCCACCTTTAACTGTGAGAGTTTGGTATTGCTTAAAATCAGGCTTCTTCTCTTGTTATACTACTTTATATTTCTACTCAAGGATGTTGTTCTGTTGTGCATCGATGTGTTTGATAGTGCCTGGTGTAGAACTTAAAATTTAGACAATGTAAAGGGCTTGGTTGTCAAGACAAAATGCTCCACTGAGAGGAGAGTGCTGCTTGTGGCACATATCACCGTGAGAAATGTCATTCTTGCCAAATGAAAGCCTGCTGCTTTGCACTGTTTTGTTCTGCTCTTTGGTGTCATTAAAGTTCCCCTCTATCAAATTTCAAGCATTCTCTTATTTTTCTTTTCTCTGCTCCTTCCTTTTGCATCTTTGGGTGAAATTCATCACTGTATAGATGACCGCTACAAAGCATAAAGACAAAATGAATTCTACTGGAGATAGTAATGAGAGTCGAACAAGATACATTCAGAGCTCATAATAAAGAAAATACTGTATTTTGCAGCTGAAATGCTAGCTTTATGCAGTAAAAACTTTAAGAAACTCTTGGATAACATATTTTCTGTGAAGGTAAGGACATGAGATTAAAAAACACAATTCCCACAGTCATTGTGGATACTAAAGCAACAGATCTTTGGGAAATTCTGAAGATGTTCCGGTTTAGGGAGGACTTGAGACTTCTTCTTTATACTTCAAAATATTCTAGSTATCACACAAATTTTGTTGCTGGATAAATTATCCCTAGTAGTTAAATTGCTTTGTTTAAGGTTTATGTTCTAGTCTGGTCTCATCCTGGCATCAGATGAAAAGCCTTTAGAGGTCCTTTCATCTCAGACACTTATGGATCATTTGAATGTTTTGAAGTATTTTACACTCACACCTCTGAAGGTAACATAAGAATGATACAAATTTCAGTTCATGTAAGTGATTTGTCTTCTCTTCAGCAATTTACTAGTTCCCCAGCCTCTTATGAATGTACTTTGTTATTTAGCAATATGTTTTAATTGAGAGCCTGGACTAGGAAATCCCATTAGTGTTCTGTAAGGAAGCTGTTATGTTGTTATGGTTGACCTTTGATCTTTGATCTATGATCTTTAATCCCAAAGAGCAAGATCCAAAAACTTTCAAACTTTTTCATGAAATCCAAACRCCACTTAGGCTAAACTGGCAGAATATCAATGAAATATTTCTAGATCATTAATGAGTCTCTTTCTGAAATAGTAYATATCCTCCAAGAAAAACTTGTTCTGTCTCTAGAGGGAAGAATGGAGGAAAAGTTAGCATTCTTTAGCTGTCTTTGCATAAATGTAAGAGGGTTAGAACAATAGCTTTCAGTTTCCATAAGGAGACATATTTTTAAAATGTGTAAAGACTACAAGTACATTGGATAGCAGAGATTTTGAAGAAAAAGTAGTGGTTCTAGCAATAAGAAGGTAAGTTTCTGTTAAGAGCCATTAGAACATGATATACTAGGAATCTGCAGAAGGTGAAGATCTGTTTTTTATTTTTTTTAGAATTAGCTATGACAATTTGTGATAAAATAAAGTTTCTCAAGGCATGTGCATTTTGTGAGTTGATCTTGAGTCACATATTTTTGACTTAGCTGATGTTAGCATTGAGATCTTTTCACCTTCCGTGAACATTAGGCAGCAGGAAACTTTGCAGATCTGAGTGGTTAGTGGGAGGTTGCTCTRGATATTGGAGGGCTTTATTCTTCTGAAGAAGCATTAAAAAGACGCCCTTCATTTAGTATTAATTCACATCTCTCGCTGAGGGATTGTGGTGCCCAGGGTGACCYGATTACTTGTCTTTGCATACTTTCCATTGGTGCAAGCATTTCCAGCCCTCTGGAATGCAGTCAGCATAGACCACTCAAGCTGCAAAGGGGATGTAAATTGTTTACTGATAAATGGAGAATTGCTGGGTGTAACTCCTTCTGACATCATAGTTTAGTTTAGGCAGTGCTCTGTCTCTAAGAACCAATGCTCAAAAGCAATCTTAACATACCCATTCATATTCAATTTTGTATGAAAACTGCTGCACATTACCRTGACTTCCTGGGGTTTCAAGCATGAGTAATGGTGATTCCTTAGATGAAAGGGTGCATGGAAATCAGATCCAGAATTATAGGTGGTTAATAAGTGTTCCAAAGTAATAGGATCGACTCATCAAACTCTCCCATTGAAGTGTGATTGCTTGTCACCTTAACAGGGAACAAGAAGATGGAATTTTGATCAAGTAAAAAGAATACATTCTTGCATATGTTTCATTAGCTGTGTTTATATGGACTTGAAAAAAAAAAGTTAGCTTGAACAGATCTGGAAAGTGTTGCATCTCAGCAGTTCTCATTGCTAATAATTTCCTTGGCCTTTGTAATACTCATGGAAATTTGGTGTTYTTCTGAGTTGCATGAGATTGAAATGGTGCCGATGGATAAAAATTGGGGATATCTCTTACGCACTTAGTCTTGTGGTCAGGCTGAGTCCTCGAAATGCAAATGCTTAGGAATCGAGTTCAGTCCTGCCAAGTGAAATGACTGTTCACCTAAAAGAGTGATGTTTTGAGTAAGGGCTATGCATCACATATGCACTCGTTAAGCTCTATCCTGATGACCAAAATGAAATATAACTAGGGCATTGGCCTTAGGAGGCAATATAATTACTGCTGTAGTTCAGATGAATCACCACAGTCTTTCAAAGAATTAAGAGATTGCAAACAGCTGAAGATGAAAGATGTCAGTGGTGGAATGTAATAGGTGAGAGGAAAAACAGAGAAGTACAAAATGATATTTTGAAATAAAAGGTCTAACCAGTTTGGTGGATTTTGCATGCAAAAGTGCTGATCATTAGGTAATTTCATGCATAATCCATGTTTCAGATCCTCAGGCAGTCTGGATACAGTATAAAAGCCTATACAACCCCAGACTCTTCCATCCACTTCTCTTGCCTTTTTCGTGTTGGTGAACAGGTAAGTCTAAACCTACTCAGTGTCTTTTTACATGTTAAGTTTTTACTTTGATGGCTACTTTTATTTTATCCTTAGTTCTTGATAAATATTAGAAGATTGCTAGCTCATTCCCTTTGAGGGAAGAAAATTAGAAAGAAGTACTTCCTTCAAAAAGAAAGGAATAATTTATGATACAAGGTGTGCTGGAGTATCCTGGCAAGAATGGCACTCTCAAAATAAGCACTTTCATGATCCATTCTAGAGGCCAGTCAAAACCAGAGACAAAAGGGCCTGGAAGTAAATATAAAGTCTCATTTTCAGAATCTGTAACTAGACAGAAAGAAAATCACTCTGAATTCCTGAATCTATCCCACTCCCTCTTTTCCATGGACAGGAAAGTATTTATTCCAGTAGATTCAATTCCATTGGACTATAACTATGGTGGAAATGTCTGATCTGGAAAAAAATCCTTTCCTCACTCCAGGTTTACCTGTTCAGTTTCATTTATAAGACGTCTTCAAAGAGCTCGTCTTAAAGATGGTTTTTACAAGGCTCCCAGTTCCCTTGGCTGCACAAAAATCCGGTGTTGGGATAAGGGGGTAGTGCTGGCAAACAGAAAGAGAAATCAGATTGCTCTGTGTTATTTTCGAATTACTGTGGTTTTCTGTCTAATAGATAATTACCACCCTGTATAGTTAGTTTTCTAATATGTTATCTATGTAGCTGACAGCTTTAACACAGATTCTATATTACCCTTGATTTCTTCTCTATTTCAGTTTTACCTGCATCCCACAGACATGTCTGGCTATGATCTGTGTCCTCCCACCCCATGTGGCCCAACACCTCTGGCCAACAGCTGCAACGAGCCCTGCGTGAGGCAGTGTCAGGACTCGACCTATGTGATCCAGCCCTCGCCTGTGGTGGTGACGCTGCCTGGACCCATCCTCAGCTCCTTCCCGCAGAACACGGCCGTGGGATCCTCAGCATCCGCAGCCGTGGGGAGCACCCTCAGCCATGAAGGGGTCCCCGTCAACTCCGGTAGCTCCTCGGGATTGGGGAGCTTGGGCTATTCAGGCTTAGGCGGTGGGTTTGGTCAACCCTACCGTGGCCMCAACACCTACCGCAGTGGCTTCTATGGGCCCTGTTGAAGCTCTGAAGAAGACTCAAGAAGGAAGGACCAGAAATACTGAAGCAGGACCCGGATGCAGGACTTATCTCACGGCCATGGTTTTGCAGAGTATTGGGCGCTCACATCTCCACTGGCACTTAATGGAACAGTGGGAGATTGGTGTTGCTTAAAATCAGGCCTTTGCTTGTTTTAGTTTTTTTGTACTTTATATTTCTAAAGGAATCCTTGCTTTYCTTTTGCTGTAGCATGGGCTTGAATGTCACAGCACACAGCAGCCTAAGAAGAGACCTAGGATGAAAAGGCATATTAGTGCTTTTCTTATGAAGCCTGGAAATATATGCCTTCTAGTTCACACTTTTTAATTCTACTTTTCATCATTAAAGTCATGTTGCATCATAATCTAAGTCTTCTGGTGTGTGTTTGGTCTGCAGTGCCAACTAGTAGCTTGCTATAGATAAAATTTCTTACTGTTTCAAGGTTTTCTTTTTTAAATGAATGTTACTTTTCTTTCTATCTATTTCACATTGATCACATATAATTAATTTGCCTTACTGCTTCTTTTCCAAGAGCTCATTTCTACAGACTGGGCTCTTCCAGATCAAGAATTTATCTGCTCTTGCTGCATAATACAGATTTTGAGGAAGCCTTTGTATTTCCATTGTAAGAACCACACTAAACCTGCCTCTTTGCAGAAATACTCCACCAATCTGTATGCAGTAGTTAGTTACATCTATTTCTTCACAAAGGGAAGAATTGTTACATAAATTGTTTAAGCTTATTAGACSACAGTAAGATGCAAAACCAAACCTCAAACTTTGTTTGGGGTTTTGTATTTTAAAGTTCTTTGTAACAATATTTGAATAACTTTCACAATGAGTATCACTAAGACGAGGCAGGAGCACTGAAAATAATACACAACTCACTGGATTTGGAGACCTCTGCCTTCAGGGAGCATTGAAGTTCAATTCGCAAATTCTGCCTCTACCCAAGATCCCAGATGGAGCATACAGGCCATCTTATTCTGTGTCTGGGCTCAAACAACAGTGCAGCAATGCTGCTTGAGGGAGTGAGCATTTGCATGAGCAAATGAGGGACTTGCAATAGAAACAACGTTATGCTGAGGTACTCAGCCTGATGCTGAATAAAAGGATTGTTTTGTATTTTCCAAGAGGAACTTAGAAAAAAAAGTTAAAATTCATCTAGGAAAGCAGTTATGCATATTAATTCCCCCGAATGGCTTCTAGATACCAGTTGTTAAAAAGGAAATTATTTTTGAACAGTTGGTTAATCCCTGAGTATGTGGATACGTGCTATGCAATGAAAAAGCTGATGACACTATGAAAGGATAGGGTAACTTCTTTGAGAATCTCCTTGAACTATGTGATGAATTAAAACAAACCTTAAGCCACATTTTAATTAAAAATAAAGCAGTCCTAGTTCCTGTGGCCAGGAACAATTACACGAACTTTATGACACAACGACTGACCTTCACTCCCAAATATTATATAAGTGATATGAGAATTTAAGTTTTTATCGCACATCTTAGATTTCTACATAATATGACGCTTGGCATGCTTAAAGCTTTAATAAAATTTTTGTGATAATCTTGGGAGTTCTCAGATCATGAGGAGCCTATGACCAAACCAAACCAGATTCTGTTCCCAGGGGATCTTAACAAAGACACTTATAATTTAGAGATGATTTACATGTCTCAGTAGTTAAAGTGCAAAGAGAGAAGATACCTAAGTACTGATCTTGGTGCCAAGGATGGTTTGTGTTTTTTACCCCTTTGTTATTCATTCCGTAAGTCCTCCTTGGAGAAGAAGTTCAGTTTCTACAGCTTGCACAATGCAGAAAACAGAGCAGAATGACAGAAAAGTTGATATCAAGCAAAAACAAACAAACAAACAAAAAAACCCACTATAGACATTTCATATACATTCAACACTTCTTTATCTGGGCTACCATCAATCCATAACACATTATGTACCTGACACTGCAGAGGCCGCAGGAGAAATGAATAATGCAATAGGAAATGAAGAATTCTTGTATATGACTTCTGATGCTTCTACTGCTGAATTTTGCAAAGCCTTATCTTTTGCAGGGCAATGCAACATACCTATGCATAGATAAATTAACATAACATGAGTTGCTAATATATTGAGAGCTGAGCTAGATAGGAATAAAGGTGGGTCTGTGGAGTCCTCAGGYGAAGAACTCCTAAGAAACGAGCCTCAGAATTAGAGCCAGTCTGAGAGAATCCTATATTCATAAGATTTGCATCTCAGAAACTTCCACAGAAGTGCAATATTTTGGTATTATCGCCTTAGACTGGACTTACATTCTTTAGTTGCTTCTTCTATGTCAAATGTCAAAAAAACAGTGTCTTAAATGTTCTCTGATGATATTATAGCCTTTTGATTCTTCATTTCCTCCCAGTTCTCACCGTGCAGCTCATTGACCGAGCTGCATTTACATTATGCGGGTGTTTCTGGCCAATTTCTGAAAAATTCTGTCTCTCCTCTTCCCTAAGGGCCTGAATCCCCAAACTAGAAGTGTGTCTGGGTTGACATCCAGCTCATTAATAGCTGAAATTCTATATGATTTGCATGCTGTATTTACGTGAAGAGAAGGGCTGGTACAAGGGACTGCATTATTTAAACTCTGATTCATCTCCTTTAATGACACCAGACAGACCCAAAAGAGTTTTGAAGGCAGAAGAAATTCTTCTGAATTAATCATCCTCATGTTACCAGAAATTAATTTGGGCCAGAATATTTTAAGATGAAAGAAACTTGTGGTCAGATATACATGCCGCAAGATAAGGAAGTAAAACAGCAATAAACACAAATATTGAGGTAAAAACACATGTAATCAGAATTGGCTCGTAAATAGCTTCATAGACAAAGAACGTCCCAAGTTGTTTGGCAACTTGGAAKGCAGTATATAAACCTGAGCAACTCAAGGCTCTTCCATCCATTTCTCTTGCCTTCTTTGCCTTGGTGAATAGGGTAAGTCTATATCCATCTATTCTCTTTCTACAATGCAAATTGTTACTTTGATAATTTATAGTTTTCTAGTTTTTGCTCTATCATATTGTAGCACATTMATTTTTTTTGCTCTGGGTGAGGTAATCGGGAAGAATTTTTGCACAAAAAGGGAAGTTTTCCTYTGGTGGGAAGTTATAAAAATTGCTGAGTGGGGGGTTCAGAGACAAGCTAGTCAAAGAGATTCTTTTGATCAGCTTTGTGACTCAAGCAAGTTATCAAGTCTTAGAGTTGAACAAAGGAAATCAACAGTGAGGTCTTGGGTGTATCCAGAATAGTCTGTTGGTGTGCAGAAAATTCATCTAAGGCAGAAGTTTACCAGAACAAGAGTCCTCATATGCTGACTGATACTAGTACTTAATTTTTTGCCATCCTGGGTCATCAGACGTCCAAATTTGAAAGCAATCCTCACTCCATGCTTGTCTTGGAGACTCAGTTCACGGTTCATATTCAGGCAAGGAGCAGCCTTTAGTCCAAAAAATTCTGGGCAGATTTCAATCGCAGCTTCTGAGACCTGCTGGAGCTGTTAGCATTAATGACAAGTCACAAGAAACAGAAGAGTCCCCAAGCTCAGCTACCTGCTTTTCCACTTCTTATTAAGGAAATTTTATGCGTTTCAACTTTTTTTTTTTTTTTTTTTTTTTTTTTTTTTTTTTTTTTTTTTCATTTCCCTGGGAGAACAGACTGAGACAGAACTTATATGAGAGAACTTGGCAGAAAGGGAGTGGGAAAGGCTGTGTTAGTGCTAGGTGGGATGTTTGTCATCATGCGCTGTTAAGTGAACAAGTGAGCTTTGCTTCAGGAATAATAAGTCGGGTCTTACCCATTGCAGCTGAGCACTATCATCCGAAGGCTGCAGAGTCCAACTTCATTTCTCTAGGAGACAGAGCTCTAATAATTTTCCTGCGTTCCACCACAGCCGCAAGGGCAGTGCTGAAAGTGCCCTATCCCAGAGTAGTGTTATGGCCACGTGGTTAGGGCACTCTCTGCAAAGTGAGAGAAGAGGTTTTCAGCACCAGCACATTCCTCGGTTCCTGGGTGAGTTCACTAACCACGGAGGCCTCAGGGTAAGTTACCACCTACAATTCACCAGCTCTTCCTCCCCTAACAGTCACCAAACTGGAGGAAAATTCAAACTAAACCCTATTTTCAAAGTACTTACTCTAGATCTGGAGCTAAAATACCTTCCTTCCCATGCAATCTCTTGTTTCCTATGCATTCTCCATATCATAGTGTTTCACCTGTATAAACAGAGTTTAAATACAATTCCCATATTGCATTTGCTTCTTTTTCTGTGTTTCAGATTTACCTCCATCCCAGAGACATGTCCTGCTATGATCTGTGTCCTCCCACCCCATGTGGCCCAACACCTCTGGCCAACAGCTGCAACGAGCCCTGCGTGCGGCAGTGCCAGGACTCAACGGTGGTGATCCAGCCCTCACCTGTGGTGGTGACGCTGCCTGGACCCATCCTCAGCTCCTTCCCGCAGAACACAGCTGTGGGATCCTCAGCATCTGCAGCTGTTGGGAGTGCTCTCAGTACTGGGGGGGTCCCCATCTCCTCTGGTAGCTCCTCGGGATTGGGGAGCTTGGGCTATTCAGGCTTAGGCAGGGGGTACAGTCGTCCCTACCGTCGCTACAACACCTACCGCAGTGGCTTCTATGGGCCATGCTGAAGCCCCAAAGAAGACTCAAGAAGGAAGGACCAGAAATACTGAAGCAGGACCCAAGGACTTAGCTCATGGCCATGGTTTTGCAGACATGCTGTTGGATGCCCGCATGTCCACTGGCACTTAATGGAACTGTGGGAGCTTGGCGTCGCTTAAAATCAGGCCTCTGCTTGTCTTACTTCTGTTACAATTTGCCTTATGCTTCTGATCACATTTGGTTCGCTTATGCTTTGTTGTATTTTGCAATGACTTGGCAAAACATGGAAATCTTAGCAGTTGTTCTGCACAACTGAACTGATACAGTCCACTTTTAGGAAAAAAAAAAAAAAGGAAGATTACATTTTGTTGAAAGTGTCACTGTGAAAGGGATGGGTGGATACTGCCCTTACTGCACCCTGGCAATATGTTCCCTATAGTGTACGTTGCTTCCTTCCATTTCTCAGTCTCATTAAATTTGTGCTGCATCATACTCCAAGTCTCTTTGTGTTGCTTTCTGCTCCCAGCCCCTTTTCCAGCCTCCCTGCCTTGGAGCAGGTCTTGCTGCAAGTCTTCAGTGCCCAAAATACAATGCAAAATGCAGTGCAAAGGTGTTCGAGATAGTTGCCAGAGTGAGACACGTTTTTGATCTCTCTTATGGAAAAAGTTTTCTTTTCCATGTGAAGTGCAAAGTCCACTCTGATCTATTGCAACACCATCCATGTGCATCAATCCTAAGAACATTTTCTCAGGTTAGGTACAGATAACCTAGAATGAGTATGTCTCCTATCGTTGTATAAGCGTGTTTTTTCTTGCTTCTATTTACACCTTAAAAGTCCTTTGCTAGTTGCATTGCAAATACAAAAAAAAAAAAAAAAATAAAAATAAAAAATAAAAAAAAAAGTCCTTTAACTGTTTTAATATGGATTCTCTATGAATAAGTGTTTGTTTTGACAGGGATGCATTTGATAATGAACAAAAAAAATGGTGTAGAAAATCATTCGAGAAAGGAAACAAGCCATCCCTCGGAAGTGGAATAGGCTAATTTCAGGGAAAAGATTGCAGTGGGGAACTCCTAATCCTTCTGTAGACTTCATAGATAAGTGTACCTGTGCAAAAGATGGGACAGAAGACAGAGACATGGCAGCAGAACCTAGATGGGCATGAGGAACACTAGGAATTACAGGGATGAACCATTTTCTGAAGCGCTACATCTAGGTTTGACCTCAGTTTGGTGTATAAATAGGGTATGGAAGGAGAGGAAAAGAGGAGGAAGAGAAGACTGAATGGTGCTTTTGCCATCGAATTGGCCACTGACATTTGCTGGACTAGAAAGCAGATCTGAGAGAAAGATATTAAAACATTTAAAGATCTGACCCTTCCCCACAATTTCCTTATAAACTGGCTCCTGTCTGCTGTAGCCAGGAAATCTGAACTTTTGGGTCATTGCTTTCTTCTAGGTTTGTTGTCTGTATTGTTTTAAATATTGTTTTTCCATGGACTGGCAGCCTTAGTGCCTGTAGGGAAGAAGTCTGAAACAGTGGATGGCTCCATGTCCCATCTTCTGATGGAACTCACAGCCTATCCGTGATGTTCCTTGCTTGGAGCTGGTCTCTGTGTCTGCAAAGACTGATGCCGAACTGTAATTAAGCCTGAGAAAAGATGTTGACCCAGTTATATTGACTACAGTCATTAACAAAGCTAAATTAAAGGCAGCACATCAGTTCCATGAAATAATTCATATTTTCAAGGAGACGAATTTCTTAACAAACAACAGTAGAGACTGGAAAATTCATAGTTTGATATTATAATGTGGTAGAAGCCTAGTCAGAATTAAATGTGTGGCCGTCTAGACTGTGGAGAACTCATCCTTCATTTGCAGCTGTCTCCTATGGATGCCAGCCTATGTATCAACCTATAGATATCATATCTAGTAGGGCTGAGAAGCCAAAATTGCATTGTTTGGGAGGGGCTGGAAGCCCACACAGCCCTTGGTGTTGAGACTAGTACTTCTGAGAGCAGAGACATGACAGTGGCTAGTGAGAAGTTTCTTATTTTCTTAGTGAAAGGTTTCTTTGTTTCATTTAGTAGCAAAACTTCTCTAATTTGTTGCTAAAATGCATTGCAGGGTTACAGTGTTGCAGAGTCCTTTCCCTTCCTTTACCCTCTGAAAAGTCCTGCTAAGCGCTGCCCTGCAAACCCGTGGGCTCTTTGGCAGCCTGCTGGAAATAATACAGAATAATGCCAAATAAAACAGATTTCTGCAGGATAAGAAAGAACGAGGAGGAGCACGCACCTGCTCTGAGCAAAAGAGTGGCTAAGAGTTTCCTAAGTTTCTCAACTCACAGCTGATATATGTCTCTGTTTGCCTGGAAAGAGCCAAGTCTCATGCACGGAAGCAAGAGAACATCAATTGGCTGTGCTGGGCACTGAGATTTTGATGTCACCATCGGTAAAGATGTTTTTTGAGAGGAAATTTTGCAAACTTGAAAGCAGGCTGTGTGGTGTATAGAGGGATAATTAAAGAAGGAGGAAGACTGCAAAGAGTCCAAGCTTCTTGCCATTCTCAGGCTGTCTGAAGGAGCTGAGATATCCTTGCGCATCTACATGCTAGTTCCTGCATTCATCCCTTTTTGCTTATGGCAATCCTCCCACTAGTGAGTTTTTCTTTTGTTTACTGTTTGTGTTTATTACCTGGACTTCTCCCGGCATTGGATGAGAACCGCAAGCCACAGACTCCCTTTCATCTTTATGACTTGCAAGCTTCAAATATGCCTGGCTCCATTAAGTCGGCTTTGCCTTTCCAAGCTGTGCATGAGTCAAAATGCAATTTGCTTAGGAATTTTGTTGGCTCTTCAGCATTTTTGCCTTTCTGGCCTTTGGCGTTACCCCCTACTGACCCAGTGAGAGCTTTTAATTTAAGTCCTGAGTGTGCAATTTCTTCTCTGATAAATGACTGCAAAATTTAGGTTTGTTCTTCACAACATGTCGAGGAGCAATGTCCTAAAGCTGTCAGCTCTTGGGTGAGGAGATCAAGCAGGCTAATACGAGGCTTGGTCACCTTCAGGAGAGGACTTTGAATCTTCGATCTATCTATCTATCTATCTATCTATCTATCTATCTATCTATCTATCTATCTATCTATCCATCTATCTATCTATCATTTACCTATCTATCTATCTATCTATCTATCTATCTATCTATCTATCTATCATATCTTTTGATGAGTTCATTTTTAAAGTATATATTTCTGCTATGGTCTGTAGATTGCTACAGAGGGATATGTTTTCAACATTTTCCAACTACAGGGAGAGGTTTTTGTGTTGATAAAACCACTGGGAAATGACTGGTAAAWCTGAAGGGCTGATGGGGGCAGTATCTATATTATCACCACGGCAGGCAGTAGCCGATAACAAAAAAATAATTTTTAAACATTTGATTTTCTGTGTGGGCACAAATATCTATATTTTAAAGAAAAAAAAA